GCATAAATTATAGATGGAACAACTAGATAAATAAGAAAAAATTTCAAATGTTAGATAGCAAAAAGTGCTTGGAAAAATATGAGTATGGATGAAAGGGGTTAGGAATGGAGCATGTTGCTAACTTTAAAAGGTAGTATCAGAAGACCCTATGTAAAGGATAGTAGTGGAATAAAACAGGCAGGGAAGGTTGTGAGAAAGCAAGTGGCAGCTCCCAGAGGGAGAGCACTTTAACCAGAGGGAACAGAAAAGTCAAAGGCCTTGAGATAGGGGTGCAGTCACAGCAGCTATACAAGACAGATATTATCTTCATTTCACATAGAAAGGAATTAAACCCAGAAAATTTCAGTAACTTGTCTGAGAACTTATAGCCATAATAAGCTATACTGTGGACTCAAATTAAAATCTCTTGAATTAAAAAACCCATATTCTATTTTGTATGCTCTCTCTGCAACATTTACTGCTTATCCTAAGAGTACACACATGCAATTATTGTGGTAGATGCTGAAGAATGCCTCTCTTACTACCAATTCATCCTCTTTCTAGAGTGACTTCTTATTTAATAGAGAGCAGGAGGATACATCCAGGGTCTCTGCATATAGTCTCTCTTCCACTGAAGAGACCACCTACAAGACTCAGAGGCAGACTTGAGTGTAGTGATGTTATGATTGTATGGATCATCTTGAAGCTGGGTAATGGAAGTGGGTATTTTGATTCTTCTGAGCTTCTGTTTTGGTCCATCTCTAATTCTGTAGTGCTGAATCGTTGCTATAGCAGCTTCTTTTGAGGAGGAAGTGGGTTGCCTCATGCATGCTAGGCAGGTGCTCCAGTGCTAAGTCACATCCCCAGCCCTGTTTTATTTTTTTTTTATTATAAGTCAGTCTTCCTAAGTTGCTTGGGGATCTTAGCTTGGGTAGGGCACAGTGCAGTCAGCTCTGTCCTTACTTTTATAATCTAGCAAACCCAAAAGGCCCAAGAGGGCTGTGGCTAATTAGAACAGCAGTGTAAACTCTGTAGCAAGCCTTAGCCGGAGAGTCACAGTTGAAGATCCTATAGGTTTGGAGCAAAGCTATGCTATCTTCAAGTAACCTTTTTTGAGAAAGCTCTGGGCTAGAACTGAGTCGTGGCAGTCACTTAACACTTGAATACAGGTGCGCCAGAGGCTGGACTTATTGAACATGAATTGAAAATCATCTAATCTACTAACCAAACCTCATACATTTCCATGATCACCCCATCATTAAGTGGATGTGATATATAACAGTCTGCCTCTGGTGTGAATTGAAAGTAACAGTAAACCAAATAAACAATGACGAACTCATTCTGCTGCTCTCTCACCTCTCTCTCAACCAACAACCATAGCCTAGTGATGAATTTATATTACCAGTTGACAGAGGAGGGAAATAAAATCTGTCCTATGTAAATATACCAGCTTCAGTTGGAAGTGATTATGCAGCACTGTAGCTACACGTAGCTCCGAGAGGGCTGCGAAGAAAAGGGACAGTCCCAGTGGGTCATGTTGCCTGGAAGATGAGGTGTCTAGAGTTGAGTATCTACTATGGTTCATGAGCAGTGGCTAGTGGCTAGTAGAGCCATATGATCAGGGTTTGGGGAAGAACAAAACTGGAATATTAGAACAGAGTGATGTTGATGGACTTCTCTGGATGAACCCAGACAGAATATGAGAATACTTCCATCTTATATGAACATGAAACCAATGCTTTCCAGCACAGAAGATCTCAACTTTCAGCTTAACATGATAAAGTGACCCAAGTGCCTATCAGTCAGGCTTTCCCTGCACTTACTCTAGTGATTGCTCAAAGGACCCCTATATCAAATGAACTGCGGTAAGGTCCACTTGCGGTTATATGTATGGATTCAGCTACGCAAGCATCTGCTCACTGTGCCCACTCTGACCACTGCTAAGTGTCCAGCCTGGCAGACATTTGGTGAGCCTGAGCTTTTCCGTGTGCTGGACTCCTGGAGGGCAGTTGGATGTGTATCAGCAGATTGTTTACATTGGATTCTTCCATTGTGGAAAGAGCAAGAATCTTCCTCATTCATTCCTTATTCATTCATTCAAAAATAATATATTATGTATGCACCTACAGTGCACCAGGAACAGTTCTAGTAATATTAGTAAAAAATACTAGTAATATTAGTAAAACTCTAGTAGTATTAGTAAAAAAAAGGCAAAAATTGTTCTTGTACCAACTCTCCACAATGAATGTAATCATTATATACTACAAACATGTACTAATAAAAACTTTAAGTCACATAAATCCAAAGATATATTTTTTAAAAAGTAGAGTTGAGAGTTGATTTACAGGTAACATACAAATATTTTGTTGCTTATACATAGTAACAAACCTTATTTTGGGGGGCAGGGTTTCTCTATGTAGCCCAACCTGGCCTTGAACTCACAATCCTTCCGCCTCAGCTCCCTGTTGGGATTCAAATATTCTTATTCTCTTATATTGAAAAGAAAGAAATAATTGAAGAAGTGCGTGTCTACCTCCTATTGTCTAATGTGTATCAGTTTTTAAAATCAGACACCTCTGGAAATAGTATTAACTTTACTAGGCAGGAAGTAGCTTATGAACTGAGGAGAAGAAACAAAGAAAAATCTGATAGAGATGTCAAAAAAAGAAACTTTTTAAATGACTGATATATAACAAACATTATAAATAAGTAAATTTTTTATTAGGAAGTGATAAGCACTAGGAACAAAAAGTAAAGCAGGGGAGTAGAGATGGGATATGCTGAAGATGGAAGAAATAGTTTCTAAATTTACATGTGATGTGGGGTAGATCACAAGCCTTTGATGAATATCCCGGTAGAAATGCTTTCTAAGCAGAGGGAACAGCAGGACAAATGTCTTAGAGGGCTATTGCCAGATGTGTGCAAGACACAGCAAGGAAGTCAGTGTCTGCGGTCATGTGACAAGGGAAGGTATATGAGTCACTCAGGGATATGAGTCACTTCAGAACTCACAGCACAGTGTCAGTGGGCTTGGGAAGGAAAGGGACAAAAAAGTGAGACAAACCACCACTGTTAACAGAATAAGATGGCCCAGGCAGAAGTGGAAGCATTGAGGTGACAAATGAAATAGTATTCACTTTTGGCATTTCAAATACACAGAAATAAAGAAGAGTATAATCCCTCCTTCCTCCTACAATGTACCAATCACCCAGCTTCAGAAATTGTACACATAGGACAAATTCTGTTTTAGCTAATGTGTCCCCCTACCCACTTACTACCCACCCTTCCCCCTTGGATTATTTCAAGCCAAATCCATCATTTAGTCTATGAATGCACATTTAATTCACTTTAATGCTTTTTCTCAAATACTTTATTATGAGCTCTAAAAATGAGTGCCTTTTTCGTTTTGATAAAACCATAACTATAATACAATCATTTATATCAAAAACACAATAAATTTTAAGTTTTAGTGTACAAGTTTCCCTGGCCTTGAATTTGTCATACCCCAGGCTGTCCTCAAAATCACAATTCTCCTGCCTCAGCCTTCCAAGTTCTGGGATTATAGGTATGAATCAGCACACCCAGCTTTCCCTTAGTATTTTGTTCTCAACTGTATTTTTTGAGTCAGGTTCCAAACAATGCCTACTCATTCGTTTTGGATTATGTATCTCAAGCGTCATGTAATTTATTCCTTCCCTCTCCCTTCTCATTTCTTGCTATTCTCCTTTAATTTTCTTTTCTTTACTCTCTTCCTCTTCCTCTTCCACCTCCCTCCCCCATCTCTGTCTCTCCCTCTCCCCCTCCCCCACTCCTTTCTTCCCCCCTCCCTTCCTCTTTTCCTTCTTCCTTCTTCTTCCTTCCCCATTAACTTGTTGAAAAAGCTGGGTCCTTTCATTTGTTTATTTAGCCTAGAAAACTTTCCCATAGCTTGCATTTTGATGATTGCAATCCTATGATACTGTTTTAGCTTGTTCCTTTGTCCCCTATATTCCCTACAAACTGGTATTTAGATCAAAAAACTTGATTGAATCGCTCTGATATTTAGGGTATGGCTACTCTGTAGGTGCTTCTGCACTTTATACCTCCATCAGATTCATATAATGTTTGGTAGTCTGTGTTTTGATGTTAACCAGGGAGTACGGCATGAAACAGCTATAGAAAATAGCAATTTCCTATTTATTTCATTATTTCTTCATTTAATAAAAGAATCATTCTTGGCCTGGGGATTTAGCTCAGTGGTTCTGCCACCTGACCAGCAAGCACAAGGACCTGAGTTCGATCCCTGGTACCAAAAAAAAAAAATCATTCTTATATCAACTCTGCAGTAGCTCAGAGACATAGCTCTTGCAAGAAAGGCAGCTCTATTTTCTTTGAGCATGAAATGGTATTTAGAGACAACTACCAAGGGGTGTCCATCATTGTTGGGCTGGTAATTATTTCTAGAACTTTTCAGTGGACAGACCTAGAAATGTATTTTTTTAAAAAAGAATAATTTATCATGAATTAATACTGATATTTAGGCTTGTAAAGCTGCTTTCTAATTTTATATTTATAGTTCTTTTCTTTAATGTTAAAAGTTTTTGTCTCAAATGATGTTAATACAATTACTCTTTGTTTTGGGAATCCCAGTCGAGAGTCTGCCTCTCCAGCTTTCTTGATGATTTTGTAAGTCATTTAATAGCTTTTCTAAAATTCATTTCTTTGTAAATAATTGTGGACCCTTGTTTTATCTGCAACTGAATCCTGGGAGTGTATCCAGGGTAGAAAGATGGGAGGGATGTTCACAATGCCACATCTATGCAGACATTTACAACAACTGGTGTAGCTGATTCTCCAGTGAGAGACTTATAAATGTTTTAAACAGAGATCCAGACCTCTTGGTCTTTTCTATCTCTGCACAAGTCCCAATTCTTTAACATTTAGGGTTCCATTTTTCAAAGACTGTCCTTCTCTCTCCTTATTGTCTTTCCCTAAATCAGACTCTGGAGAACACACTACATCATCCCAAGAACAGGCATACAGAGGCTTCTCCCAACTTTAGATCCAAGACATTTTAGCAAAGCATTCCAGAGGCCAACCCATCATCACTTCAGAGTAGATGACTTAAGAGTTGATGATTGCAGTCCCATGATGGGCCTGAAGCCTTGAGTCAAGTCACTTGAATACCACACTTGTGTATCATTCTATGATGTCTTCATCTTTAGGGCTGACATTTCCAGTTGAGTTATCTGGGAGCTGTGTTTTCACTTCAGAGTAGACAATTGAGGCACACTGGGATGAAAAAAAGATAGAACTGGAGAAAGAGAGGGAGTGCGAGACTATAGGTAATAGGAAGAAAACAATGGGGAGTAAGACTCACCTTTTCCTCTAGAGATGTCCTGGAGGTACTGGCTGTGGAGGGAAAGGGGACTAATGAGCCATGGACACAAGGATCCACTTTGAATCCATTGTGCCTGCTTGTTTTCCAGAATCCAGGGTCCATAAGCCTTCAACATTGATTGTCATGTTTTCTCTCCACCCCAACCCAACAAATCCTAAAACACATTTCATTTTCTGTTTTACCGTTTCTTAACTTAGCCCTCTGTAAGTTCTTCTCAAGCTCCATTGATCTGTAAAATCCTCCCTCGATACCACACTATAAAATTTCACTTCTTCTTCTACTAGATGTCGAAATATTATCTTCCTTTTAATTTAATTCTTACTTCTCTTAAGTTACAGTACACCCTCTTCACGACCCCTGAGTTTTGGGAAGTCCCCAAAAAACTCTCCATATGTATGCCCTATGAGAAAAACTCTCTCTTACTTTAGCAAATAGTAGTCCTTGATTGCTACAGTTTCTTAGAGGTGGAGCCACAGAGAAAGGAAAATTCAGTAGAAAATTTGTTGAGCCATGCATATGAGAAATTAAGATTCTCAGAAAAAGGGTAGTCATTAGTGCAACATAGTAATTTTAAGGAGAGATAACACCTGAACAGAAAATACATCTCAGAGCACCTGAGGTTTCCACCATTTTCTTTCTATATGCCTTCTGGGATTAGGGATGTTTTTAATTATTGATGAAAAGTATTGTTGTGGTTTCTGTTAGATGTCTCCCCAAAGCCTCATGCAGTCATGGGTGGAGCTTTTTCAGAAGTGGCTGGATCTAGAGTATATGACACTGGAATTGATCAATGGTGCAATGCTAGGCTCAAGGGCACTAGGGTTAAGGGTGTGAGTGCTATCTGCCATAAGCAGTCTGGATAAAAGGGAAAGAAAGATGCTGTTAGAGTCCCTTGTTCTTTTGCTGTCTTCTGCATGCTATGAACTATTTCCTCCTCTGTGGCGCCCATCTGTCATGTGTCACTCTACCTTGAAGCCAGCCAATTATGGACTGAAACCTCTACAAACTGAGCTAAATAAACCTTCCCTCCTTTAACTTTGGGTGTTGGGTATTTGTCTCAGCAACAAGAAAAGTAATTCATACAACTATGCTCTCTGTCTTCAGAATAATGGTCATACGAAGGAAATGTTGCTTATGATTTCATGACCTTTATGCAAACCTAGAAGAATAAGTGAAGTTCTCTATGGATTGTTAACACAGCAAATATCTGAAATGCAAGTATTCCATCAACAAATATGGCATTTTGGCAAATAAGTCAAGAACAGAGTGTAATAGGAAAATCACCAAGGTAGCTCAGTCAGATCAGATGCACTCAATCCACCTTGGCAGGCTGGTGGCAGTTCCAATCTACTATTCAAAAGGTCTTGATTAGTGGAGGTGGCTCAGAGTCCACAGCTATGGACAAAGCAGGCAATCAAGTGGTACAAGTTGGTCGAATGTAGGAATAGTCTGTAAGCAACAAATACTCTTACAACCTAACGTTGAATAGTTTTACAGGTGAAATGCTTAAGACTCAGTGAAGTTAAGCACTTTCTGAAGATCCAAAGCCAGTGAAAGATAGAGATAAGGCCAAGACTTCTGGCCTATAAATGAAATCCCCACTAGGTACAAAGACACTAGAAATTTTAAATTCCTAGGTGAGGTATCATATTTATATTTGTAAAATAAATACAGCTGTTTATTTTCTTGACTCCAGAGACTGTGTTAGTCAACCAAATCAAGGAAGCAGGAGGAAAAAGGATTTATTGAAGGTAGTTCTGCAGAAGATCCCGGCTCTAGCCGAGTCATAGTGACAGAGAATAATAGTTTTGTTATGCTAAAGCAGTTAGAATTCATAGAACAGAATACCAGAGAGAGAGCAGCAAAGTAGACTGAAAATTCCAGAGATCTCCAGAAAGGTATGTATCCTCAAGTCTTTGGTTGAATACTGATAGGCATGCATGTGAAGGAAAACTATCTTAGGCCAGGTAAGAGCTACAGGAAAGGAACAAGAAGTACAATACTTGAAACTCATGCAGATCTTGTAATACATGAGGCATCTGACACAGAATCTTCAGAAATACATTCCTTTAATATTAGGGCTGGATGTGCCCACAGGTTGTTTGGAACCTGCCACAACAAAGCTAAAAAGAAAGCTTTGAAAGGACTCACTTCATACCAAGCAACCTGATCCAGAACAAAATCCCAAATCCAATGTAATTAAGGAATTCTAGAATATAAAGTTCATATTTTCCAACATCCAATAAAAATTGTCCATACACACACATACAGTTCGCAATTTATGATGGTTTGACTTTATGGTGGTGCAAAAACCATACATATTTCAGTAGAAATCTCATTTCAAATATGAATTTTGAACCTTTCGTGGATTAGTGGTATGTGGTAAAACATTTTCTTTTGATACCAGGAAGGTACAGCAAGCCACAGCTCCCAGGCAGCCACAAAATCACAAAAGTAAACAATGGATGGATACTCTACAGTGTACTGCAGAATGATGCTAAACTATGATGCTTGATAGGTTAGATGTATTAATGTATTCAATGTTCTTAGGACATAACCCCATTCTAAATGGAGGAGATTTTGTATATGATGTTATATATAAATATTCTCAGCACAATGCCTACTGTAGTAGGTACTTTGTAAACATACATTCATTTAGACCTAAAAGCAACCATATTAGATACACCAACAAGATCACAAAATCTATCAGAAGTATGCTTAATTTTTGTTCTGATCATCAATGAAGATATATTACATATTTTTCACATCTAGCGTCCCTCTTTAGAATCTAAGCCCAGTGCTATAGGAGTTTTTGTCTATTTGTTCACTGATTAACTCTCCTTACAATAATATCTAGTGTATGGGAGGTGCTCAGTAAACATTTGCTGAATGAATGAATGAATGTAGTTTGCAGCTAGAATCGCTTCCCAGAAACATACCTTCTCCTTCTCCCAGCTGAGTAATTTGGATCTCAGCATATGCCAAGTCTCCTTCATTGGGGTGCACTAGAAAGAAAAGACAAGGTTTCTAGGCTGTCCCTGCCAGTGATATGTGCTGGAGATGCCTCTTCCCAAGCATTCACTTCATGGTTCTTGGACACACAAGGAAGTGATCATTTATTGGGAATATCTGAGTTCAGAATACTATAGAATAAATGACCAGCAGCATCTCCTAGGGCACAAAACACATTCTTTTTCTGTGGCTGAGGCTGGGGGCAGTTCTTACAAGACAATCCTCACCATTGGCATACAAGAACTTCAGCTCCTCCTGGGCAGGGCTGATAGAATGGCAGGATGCTCCTGGGCCTGGAGTGGGAAAGCTCCTGTGAGACACAGAAACACATGATAATCCCTGCAGGATACTAACACACAGAAGAGTGAGATGGCTGGGGAGGGAGGCTGTGAAGACAAGGGGTTGGGGAGAAGTGAGCAGTCAGTAGGAAAGTAGGAACTAAATAGGGCTTAACTAGAGCTTTCATCAGTCTATATAGAGTCAGATTGTTCTTTTCAAAGAGACTGGGAGCGGTAGCGTGAGCAGGCTGTCTTGAACAAGGCCAGAGTCTTTGACATCATACAATCGGATCACAGACAAAATGGTTTAAGAAAATCCTCACCATCAAGAAGTGGTAACTAAATCTCTTACATTACCATATCAAGAAGGAATTATATATGATCCATGCTCCAGTGCATGTCTATAACCTAAGACTAAGACACTGGCTTATACAGAAGAGGACATGTTTTTCAGAGGAAAGTTAAAGAGACAAAGTCCAATTATTGTATGTGTATATGTGGAGCAAAGATAAGATTATTAGAAACTTACACTTCTCTGGAAGAGCTAGAACACTTGTAGAAAATCTGGAATCTAGGCATTGTACCTGTATAACACATTGTCTAACTACAGGACTATTTGCATCAGAAATATTTTGTGTCATCCCAAGAAAATCTGTAACCTTTGGTACTTTTCATTTAGATGAATAGTTTAATTTCAAATAAGAAGCCAATCTAAATGCATGTAAATTATATAACACTAATAGATGACAAGAATGGTACTAGGAAGTTTCAATTTTGACTAATTCAAGGCACATGAAAATGGAAACATCTACCCACAGAGTCAAAGAGAAATAACTTGACCTAATTTTACAACCCTTCAGTTTCACATATTTGTAATTGAGAAGTCCCCCCCACCCTGCCCCCCGCCAAAGCTAAAGTCTCACCTGATTTCACCTTCCCGGATACTGTGTCCTGCAAGATAGAGCAAAGGTGCATTCTTGTCAGCAGAGGGAGTCTTTTTCAAAGCCCACATACATGAGCTCCCTGAAGAAAGATTGCCCAGAAAGTCCATTCAAACATGGGTCCAAACTTGATTCTCATGAAAAGATTGTAAAAAAAGGATTGAACAAAACATATAACTTGGTTGGGTTAGTGATACACATTTATGGATTAATTATGGAATTATTTGAGACTATCAGAGTTTAAGGCTCTGTTGATACACCTCAGGAGACACCAAATATAACTAAATTATCACTCTTCCACAGTAGTGAGCTGTGGGTGGACTTCAAAGAACATCTGTGGTCAGGTGAGGAATGGTGGTGTATGTTACTAAGGCTGCCCATAAACTGAGGAGACAGAGACAAGAATAGGGCAGGGACCCTACAAAAGAGAGAAAAACACAAACCTGATTTCTTCTGGCGCCAGTAGTAAAACAGCAGGGGCACAGCCAGGAGTAGAATGCTGAGCAATCCCCCTGTGGCTCCTGCAGCAATGAGGCCTTTTTTGTTTCCTGAAGTTGGTAAAAGGAGAGAGCCTGTATGAGTATCAGCAGGAGATGCATAGAGCTTGGAACTGCCCTTCTTCAGCTTGGCTAGGGTCCCAACCCTTGGGACAGAGGAGAACCTAACAGACTATGCAGGACTCATGGGGTTCCTTAGGTCATGGTATGGCAAAAAAAAGCTCATGGTATTAAGTTAATGTGCAGTGACACAGGAAATAGCTTTCTCTACCTTCAATGAATCATTTTACCAATTGGAAATTTAGGGGAAGGAGAGATCAGTGTGTGTGTGTGTGTATGTGTGTGTGTGTGTGTGTGTATCGGTACTTATATAAATTTACATACATCTTTATATACATCCAATATTCTTGTAATTTTGTTCCCTGGGAATCTCTTCCAGATACCTGGAAAGATGTCATGTGATTAGGGGACCAATTAAACTAACAGAACTCTGAGATTAGTCTCCTCTTAAAAAATATATTGTCTATAAAGCTAAGTGAGATAAATCACACACAGAAGGTTAAATATTGCATGATTTCTTTTACATGAGAAAGCTACAGTGTAAATAATTTAAAGAGTAAAATAAAAGATAGATGATAGGAACAAGGGAACTAGACTTTGTGGAGGTGGGAAGAGGTTCTGCAGATGGGAGGAGATGGGAGGGTGAGGAGGGGAAGGGGAAATAAAAAGGACCAAGATGTAATATGTATACATGCCAATTCCCCACAATGAATATTTATTATGTACTGCAAGTATATACCAATATAATTTTTAAAGTTATAATATATAACTCTAAATAACATTATTAAAATATTAATAATATTGTATTATAATATTATTGAAAAATCACTGTAAAGTCATTAGTTACCCCCTGAAACATATACTGGGATGCTAGAGTGAATGGCAAGTCTCTTTCCTCAAGGAAACATGCACCGTACGAGCAGAAGAGGAAACACTGATGGAAAAATATACATAATAAAGTCCATATTTTTGAGTTTCTGAATTTTTTAAGGTCCATTCTCCTATGCTGTCATCTACAACAAGAGAAATTTCATTGACTTCGTCCAATCCTCTAACAAATATTTACTGGTATCTAACATGGCCAGGCACACAGCTAAACCTTGAAGATGTAGAAGTGAATGTGACACTAAAGCCCCTCCTCTTCTGGAGCTTTTGGTTTAAGGAGGAGAGACAGACAACAAATATATAACTTGTGCCTTTGTGATAAGGGCTAGAAGGCCAGAGTAGGATGAAGGGACACAGTGTAGGGTGATAGCGCTTCTCACACAGATTTCCTGTCCTCATGTGAACCAATTTAGACTTCAGCTACCAATACCTCCAACTAGACAGAGAACATCAGATATTAGGATAATAGCAACACTAATGATAATTTCCACTTATTTTCATCTATGACTCCCGATACAGAGTAGCCACTGGTCAGCTGGTGACATTTCTGTCTCTATCCTTCCCTTCCCCCAAAAAACTATAAAGCTGCCATTTGACCGTAAGTGGTTCCACCTACAAACAGTGTTCAGGGGCAGCCAGTCCAGCCTCTCCACCATGAGAGCTGAAGGAGAGGGCTGGAGAGTGAGAAGAATCCAGGAACAGAGAGGCTTGGCCACTGCATCCTGTATTGCATGTATTTTCCCATTGCCTGCTTGGGCATTTAGCTGTGCAAAATCAGAATCAGCTGAACACAGGCCAGGGATTTCAGATCCAGCAGTCAAAAAGCAAGTTATTTCTCCTGTTGGGTGACCCAATTTCTTAGAAGAAATGGCTACTGTATGGGAAGTAATTGTAATTGTTACTCAAAAGGCATAGACTTCTAAAACCAGATTCTGGAGTTAAAATCACAGGTCTTCCACGTACTAGCTGTGAGGCCAGGGAAAATTATTTAGTCTTCTTGTGCCTCAGTTTTGTCATCTGTAAAATGAGGATAATACTAGCTATTTGCTATTATTTGTAGATTAAGGATGTCATATATTATGTGGGTTGCACGGTGCCTGGTATATAAGTTTCCTGTCTATGTAAGGATTAGGTCTTGTTTGCATTATGGTCAAGGCTCTCAGGAGCTTCATGCTGCCTTCTGGTCAGCTTAGGAGACAGCCCCACAGGTTAAGTGTGCACCCACACAGAACCATGCCAGCCAGCCTCTGCTTGTGCAGTGAGCAGAACTGTGTCTTCTCAAAATGCATATGTTGAAGTTCTAGCCTTAATGTAATGATAGTTAGAAACGGGTCACTGGGTGATAATTTCAATCAAATGCAGTCTTGTGGGTGGGGGTCTGCATGATGGGATTAGGACTCTTCTAAGAAGAAACTCCTGAAAGCTTGCTCTTGGCCTCTTTTTCTGTCATGTGAGAACAGAGCAAGAAGGTTGCCTTCTGCAGACCAGAAAAAGAGTCTCAGCAGCACCCAACAATGTTGGTATGCTCAGACTTTCAACCTCCAAATCTGGGAGAAAATAAATTTCTGGTACATAAGCCAACCGGCCCATGGTGTTTTGTTATAGCAGCCCAACTTGATCAAGCCTGACCACCTTAGCCCAGTGTTTGAGGCTACTGAAGAATTTCTCTCCTGTTATAAACTCACCCATTTACAAACACAGAGATTTTGCACAAAGTCCACAGACTTAAAAGATTTAGGAGGCGATCCCACCCTACTAAATATCAACTGACTCTTTGACATCTATTTAAGTCTCTGAGATCCTGTTTCCATCTTTGCAGGCCTGCCATGGGAGTAAAATGGTAAAATGAAATCACATTTGTGAAGGGACAAGTTCTGCTGGACCAGACAATACATTTCATGAGCCCCTAAAGCAAGATGAGTATTTCACACTTAAACGGGAATTATCAACAGATTCACTGCTACCCTCCTCTGGGACTATAACATCTGTTCTCCCTGAGGTAAACAGCTTCACTCTAAGAGCCTTCCAGGAGAGATAGCAACCTCTACCTTCAGAGTCACTCTACATTTCAGGCCTTCCAGGTGTCTTCAGAGGCAGCCTTCAAGCCTTCGTAATCCCTCCTCCTTTCCCCTAAATTGCATCTTGAAAGCCATTGGCTCAGTCTCAGTACTTCTTTGCTTGGAATTATATCCCATGTCTCAGTTCCCCAACTGTTTCAAAGCTGAGATGCAGACCCTTCTGTGGCATCTGGTTCTGGGGAAAACATCTCAGTTCTCTGAGCTAGGAGGGCCCCATCTTACCATAGGACTTGCCTTGAGGGAATTGAAGGGAAAATTGAGCAGCATCTGAGCTTTGAGCATAGCAATCCCTTCCCAGAGCCTCTTACAACCATTCAGGTTCATGGCTCTGACTGTCAGAGCTGACTGCTTATTTAGCATGTTTGATGATAGTACTCAATAGTGTGTCATTTCTTTAGTGAACTGTAACATTACTGTCTGTCTCTCTGAGCTAAAAGATTGCATCATGGCTCAAATCTGAGATCCCATGTATAAACTCTGGATATATACAAATAATCAGACCTCTCAATGCTTCCCTTTTTTATAGAGTGGAGATAATACCCTTATTTTCTAGGATTGTTACTATAATCAACAGAGAAGATGTGTGCAAAATTCATTCTTTCAACAAATGTTTATTGAACGCCTGAACTGAGCAAACACTTGGGATATAATAGAGGTCAAAACAAAGATCCACCCTCACGAGGCTAATAAAAGAGGAGAGGGAGAAGACAGCAACCAAACAGGAGTGAACATGGTATGGTAGCTGGTGATAAGTGCTACGGTAGGAGAATTAAGCAGGGCTGGGAGAAGGAGAAAGAGCACTGGGGCAAAAGTCTGCTATGTTATAAAGCATGGTTGGGGAAGGACTCACAGATAAGGTAAATAGAGTATTGCAGGAAGTGCAAGGTGAGCATGAGGATATGGAGGAAGAGAAATGCAGAGGGCCTGAGGAGGGCATGACACTGGAGGACTGGGCCTGGTGGCCACAGTGGGAACAGTAGAAATAGAAAGATTCTGCCTGTATTTGGAAAACTGAGCCTTCAGAACTTGCAGGTGGATTATATAGATGATGAAAAAAAAAAGGAGTCAAGAATGGTGCCCCAATTTTTTATCTAAGTAACTAAGTGAATGAGCTTTACATGTACCAAGAGAAGGCTCTAAGCAGGTGCCTGTTTGGGATGAAACTCAAGAGTTTAGCTTCAGATTAGTTAAATTTGAGATGCTAATTAGAATTGTGGAATACTTGGTTAAGTACTTAGGCATATGAGCCTTGAGTTCAGCCTACAGTTAGAGGTTGTAGAATGAGTTTGGGAGCCATAAGTATATAGAAGTCATAAGTGCTTCTAGAGTAATGAGACTAGGTGTGATAATCTAAAGTCTGGTCACATGGATAGTCTGAGGATAGAGCTCCCAAAATTTATAGGTTGGAAATATGAAGAGGATTCAGAAAAGAAGGCTAAAATGAATGTCTGATAATTAGGTAGAGTACCAAGAGGAAGTTGTATCCTAGAAGTCAATGAGAGGAGTGTTTCAAGAAAGAGGGATCGATTGTGTCAAAAGCTGGAGGCAGGTCAAGTAGAATGGAAGCTGAGCATTTCCCTGGGCTTTAGCAATAGTGAGGTCATTGGTAACCTTCATGAGAATAAATTTAGTGGAGGGAGGCAAGCTTTGATGGTGGTGGGTTGGAGAGGAAATGGGAGAAGGGAAGACAGTGAGTAGAGATAACTCTTTTAGGAGCTTTGTTATAAAGGCAAGCAAGGAAATCTAGCTTACTGGTAGCTTCTCATTAAGAATCTACTGGTACAGCTGGGAATGCAACTGAAACTGCAATGGGCAAGGAATTTAAGCCCAGTAGAAACCACTTCCTTACTGCCAAGGTTGACTGAGAAGCTAGCTTGGCCTGGATGGCCTCTTAGGGACAGAGGAAATAAAAGTCATGAGATAAAACTGTAGGATCTTGCAAGGCTTGTCTTTTCAGTGGTCAAAGCTGGGCTCTGTATCTGATCTCTTTGCTTGTAGGTTTCCTGCACATGATTCAGTAGCTGAGAATTTCTCAGGCTTACAGTAATGAAGCTGCCCTCTGGTTTTGGTTCTGTCCACCTTGAGGACATTGATCTGTGGATGACGTACTGTGGATGACTTACTATAGTTGACAGATAACAGAATTGTGCCTCAACTTAAAATGCTGTTAGTGAGGTAAGGCTGCTCTTCGAGATTAGCATACAATGGATTGAAGAAGAGACACACAAAGTCACCTCCAAGAGCGAAAATGGCTCCTGGCCAGCATTACCTCATTGTAATACTACATTGCTCTGACTTGATTGAGTTATTAATTTTCTAATGAAAGAAACTGTCTATCACAGGGGAAGATGACAAAACACAAACAGACAAAGGAGAGTCACAAAGCTAATGTTGACACATGGCTATTCCTAATCTGAGGAAGTCTCCTGAGTATAGCTAAGGTCAATGGCGATTAGAACTCACCTCTCACAGTGATGTTCATGGCCTCACTCTGGATGGGGCCATAGCTATTGTCAGCCATGCAGTAGTATGCCCCAGCATGGCTCTCCCAGATGACAGGGATCTCCAGCTCTGCTCTCTGGGAGCGCTGAGTCTTCCAGCCCAGACTCTCCTTCGTGTCACCAATGTGCCAGGAGAATGTGATGTCCCCTGTGCCTTTAGCCACGGAGCAGAAAAGGATCAACATCTTCCCTTCAATGGCCTGGCCCCCTGGCGGATGGGTCTCTATGGAAACCTCAGACACAGGGATCCCTGCATGAACAGGAGATACCAGGTGAGAGCCAGGTAGGGGAAGGAAGAAAGCGTATTGAACAGAATCCTTTTGATGTGACTTCAAGGTCTACTCTTGCGCAGATGACCAGTGAATTGTGGGTTGTAGATCTAGAATATCATTGTATGAAGTTTTCTGTCCTAATACATAGTGGCCTAAGAGAGAAAAATGAACTATACCTGAGAAGTACGTAGGTTTTGTCTGACTCAACAGATAGTCTGTATTGTTTTGAGAGCTAGGTGATAGCCATAGTGGCTGTTATAGCATGAGGCTGGATAACATGTTTCCAGAATTTCTGCTTTGGTACCCAAGGCAAATTGGTATTTATTGTATTTGTCCCTATGTGGATATATCTCCTTTTCTGTTGCACACATTGCTAACACTCACATTGTTTTCAGCTTTTAGTTAGGAAGAAGCAGGTGCTTGTTGTTCTAAATAGCTAGGCCAAGCTCCAGCATTCTAGAACCTGCAAACTAAGTAGCAGGGTACATTATTTTGCCTAGCTCTTGTATCTTAACTACACAAATCCATCCTATCACTGTAACATGACAATGCGGGGAGAGAAGACTGTGTTTTTAGGAAAATAGAAGTAGAAATGAAATTCTTTATTCCTTTTATTATAGTACCTCACTTCCCAATCTACATGAAGTGATTGAAAGATATGGTAAATGTTTGAATTTTTAAAATCTTATTACAATAAAGAACACATTGCCAAGAATGATGGAATAAATATGTATAAAGCAAGGGGAAGTATTTTGATTATTTTGAGATTAATGATGTGTCTTTTACTACAATAATTTTTAAAATTTAAACATTTACTGTATTTTATGATCATACCATATTGATCAAATACTTATGGCAATTTCTGTGAAACAAAAATATTGTAGTATGTTGTTGTCCATTTTATTCACTGGATCTGGTATCATGTGATTTCTGGCTCTTCCCCAAAGTCAAAATGACCATAAGAAGTAAACATTTTTAATTGTTTCAGGACATTCAGTCAGCCACAAAAGCCCAACTGAATACACAAAAGAGGACTTCCAGAAGAGTTAAAAAAGTGGCAGGAATGATGAGATATGTGTGTTTGATTTGAGGGGAAGAATGTGGAGGGGGATTAATGGCAATGTGTCATAATTTTCTGCCATATTTTTCATTACATCTCATAAGCTGGTGCCTCTGTCAGAATGACAAAACCCATTTCTATTGGCTAGTTCCCATACCCACAGAGCCAGAAGGAGCAGGAGATGTAAAGAAGGTGCTGTGGCCCCTCCCAGCCCACATGGCTCTGCGAGACTCACTCTGCACCCGGATCTTCAGCGGGAGGCTGTGTCGGTGTATGTTGTGTGTCACTGTTTTAACACCACACCAGTACCATCCCGAGTTTTCTTTCCAGATGGCTGGGATCTGGAGCTCTGAGGACTCATTCCAGTCTGACAGGATGAGCATGTTGTCTCTGAAGAAGATGAAATGAAGAGGAGTATCTGATCGCTCTGCAGGAAGATATGTCTCACAGCTCATGTTTACAGAGGTCCCTTCTATAGGCTTGGTGGCTGAGACTTTCAGCTTTGGATGTGGAAATAGTTCTAGAGAGAAAAAGTAAATCAAGTTCTCAGCATGAGACCTTTAGTGCTCTGGAAAAACAGGTTTGGATTCTCAGTTTGGATTCTCAGTCCCAGGAAACCACACACACAACATATCAAGCTTTATCAAGCTCTCTATCACTTTCTTTCTCTCTAGGTTTATTCAAGTCCAGTTATTCCACTTTCTCTGTCTCCTAGAGGATTTAGGCCTCTGATATTTCCAAAGTTCCAGTATTAACCTATAAATTCCCGAATGACATATCTAACTCCCCCATCTTCACATTACTAAATGAATTTATATAAAATAAAGCGTTTACCTTGAATTTTAATAACTTTAGTATTTGATTTAACGACACCATTTTTGTTGTCATATCCAAAACATTGATAAATGCCACTGTTATTTGAACTCGCTCTTGGGATAAAAAGATCAAAGCTTTCATTAAGAGTATGGCATATTTTTCCATTCCAAGAATATGTCACAGCAGTCAGTTTTTCTCTTCCTGTTCTCTGGCATCTCAGAACCAGTGTGTCACCCTCAAACACAGAATAAGGAGACTGCAGGATGAGGGGGCCTGGAAACAACAGAGAGAAAATATTATTCAGAAGCTGGGCTTAGTGGTGAATGTTTGATGGCCCAGCACTCCAGAGGCTGAGGGAGAAGGATCATAAGTTTGAGGCCAGCTTGGGCTAGATAGTGAGTTCAAGGCTGGCCTTGACTACATAGAGAGATCTCGTCTCAAAGAAACAAACGAAACCAAAACAAAAATCGTGATTCATTTACCTCCTTCCCCTGTGTCTCTTATATTACAAAGGTGTTTTCAATTTTGCTTTCACAATATTTGGTCTCGTGGCCCAAATGCATTCACCTCTTTCCAGATCAATGTGGCATGCTTCAGACACAATTTCTAAATCAGTCTTAAGCATCTTTACACAATTATTTAAGGACAGATTCGAAATGTAGGGATTCAAATAGAGAGAAAAAAATCCCTGACATCAAAGAATATGTAAAAAATCAACATCAATCTTCTTATCAAATCTCAAAGCAAGAAAATCAAAGAAATAGCATTTGAAGAAATGAACAAGGAAGTATTACAGTGTACTGGCATACACTGTCCAAGGGCAGTCAATGTGATCCTCTACGGCAATTCTCATGCTGTTCAGGTGTAATTTGAGTTTAGCTCTATTCTTTCTCTCTTAGAGGATTATAATGAATGGCTCCTCCTACAGAGCCATGCCTGTGGATGTGATCCAAACCTTTATATATAAACTAGGTAAAGCTGCATGAAGAGACATGGGAGTTTTGCATCAGTCAAAAAGAAGAATCAGAATAAAGAAGACATACATACCAGGACAGGTGGGGATGAAAGACCTGAGCTTGTAAGTTTCCCACTCCTAACCTCCTTCACGGCCCTTTTCGATTTCTGCTTTGTGCTCAGTATATTCACATGTGTGTATTTTCTCCCTTAGGAGGCTAAACAGTCCTACAAGCCAGGATCCCAGACATCTTTTTTATATTCCCTAAAACTAACTAATTTCCTTCGCTATGTGAGTGTGAAAGAATGTTGTTGATTAATGTTAAATATTTAAACACAATTTTCAAGTGAAAAATACTTGCAGATGATGAGAAAGAATGTGAAACTGGAAGTAGGTGAGGTCAAGGCTTAGAGAAGAACGAAGGACTCCACTTCTTAAAATGTACAGAGAGCTAAGTTGAACTGAAACAATTCCTAAAGATTTAATGAATTCATTTTCTTTCTCACCTGTAGCAAAGGTCAAGAACACAGGGCCACTCAGAGATGAGTTTTCAGCCTGGCATCTATACATCCCAGCTTCATGAACCTCTAGGATGTTTCCTGAAGTCTCTCGCAGTAACTTTTTCCCATAGTACCCAAAGTACCATTTTGTTTTTTCTGATGCACAGAAGTAAAATCCATTGCAAGTCAAATTCACTGTCTCTCCTTGGAAAACCGGGGTCCATGGAGGATGAAGGGAGATCACAGATTTAGGTACAGTTGCTGAGAAGGAGAGAGAAATGGATCTGAGAAAGAGAAGGCTATAGTCCCAGGGGCAGAGAGTCCAGTGAAACAGATGCAGAGACCTGGCTCTGGACAGTCTCTAATGTCCCAGGGAGGGCAACTACTTACTCAGGTTACAGGTCCTCCAGCTGAGCTCACTTACCCCAAAGTGTGGTGGCTGCTCAGGAGTGAAATGACCTTTCAGAGGGCTACCCTAGCAGGATCCAGTCATGATTGAGCTATGATGGCAGGTTCACAAACCCTTCAACCTGTTCCTATAGATTAGGACCTCAGGAAGAGAATTGACAATTGCATTTTTCCTGACTCCACACCCCCATCATGTTTCCCAGGCTCTTTGTGTTACAGATACTCCTCTAACACAATTGTTTATGTGTGCAGGGTACCAGAATATGCCACCCTAAAATGTACTTCTTTCACCTATTTATTATTTTGAGTTAAAGGCCACTGAGAATCAACAGGCGTAGGGAATGCTCTGCAAAAAGAAAAAAAAAAAGTTTTCCTTTCCAAAAAGGACATCACCTTTGGTAAAGGTGTCTCACTGTCCTGGACCTTCTCAAAGAAAAAGATTTTGACTTAAATCTAACAACAAACCTTACTAAACAACATTTTTTTAACATACTTTTCCTGGTCACCTTCGTATACAATAGTAGTAGAGTGAAAATATTTTTCATTGCAGACAGTGGGACAATGAGAACATTTCTCATACACTGGGCCCCAGGTGTATGCCTGACAACCAACATTTCAAGATGCCAAAACACAAACTTTCCCAGGAACACACACATACTCAGTTCCTATTGTTCTTCACAACAAACAATGAATTTACCAACAACCAAACTTAAATCCACTAACCCCTACCATGAAAAGTGTCCCCTCCACATTCCAGTGGGATCCCTCTCCTGACTGTCCCCACTGCCTTTCACAGGGTATATTTCAATAAATTTCATTCTGCACTTATTCTACTCCTGGTAAATTCTTTTACTGCCCATGTCACTGGCTTTCCATATGGTGTTATGTAAGACAACCTGCCCATAACTTTTTTCCCTCTCTAAGAAGCCCCAAGGCCATTTTCCTTCGTTTAGCCTTAGATAGTATATAAACCCTAGTCATCTGGCTACCTCCTTGAGCCATTTTTATTTGAGGGGGGAACACCCATGTGTATTTATGCAATTTAATGTTATTTTTCTCTTGTTAAACTTTTATCAGTTTTTTTTTTCCATTAGCCCTAGCCAATGGGCCTAAGATGGGTAGTGGGAAAAATAATTAATTTTTTCCTCTGTTTGTGGCCTGGGCATGTGGTGAAATGGGCCTTGTAGATAAGGGAATTATAGAAACTTGAAGGTCAATTATGTATTTATGGAAAAGGTCCAAGCTGTAGTTTTATTCATACTGCTACTAGGTTTTGGGGAGTTAAGAGTCTCCTTTTAGAGGGGGCTTCGAGGTTTTTTTCTGTCCTGAACAAAGAATTGGCCAGGACATGAGTAAATGGTAGCAACGTTATATATTTATTAAAAGTAGGAAAAGAAATTCTATGCAGAGCAAGTTTTGGCCAAGAAAAAGTGGGGAGGGGGAATACAGCACCAGGGTAGACTACTGTGAAGAGACACAATTGGCTCAAGCTCAAGGTCAACTATCCTTTATGTATTTCCCACTGTGGGGCTGGTGTCAGGTCTGGACTGTCCTACAAAAGCCTGCTCAAATTCTCGCCAAAGGTCTAAGTGCAGGGCTTTGGGAACTGTTCTGCACACATGTCTTGGAATTTCATATTTAACAGCTTACCCCTATTTTCCCAGCTAGTCTTAGCCACACCCTAGCCTCCTGGTTCAATACCAATGAGAAGTAGGTATGGGGAAGATGAGCAGGCTGTTTTCTGAAACAATAAATATATAGAAATAGTTACAAAGAGCGAAAGTGTAGGAAGCTAGGTGCTCCTAATTTCCTAAACTTCAATGACAAGAAAATGTTGAGCTTGCATGAAATTGGGCCATAAGATATTTGAAGCATAGATGGTCAGAAGTCAAATAATATAGGGCAAGCAAATTAAAAAGAGCCTTAATTCTCCCTGTTGAAAATAAGGGAAGAGGGCCCAGGGATTTAGCTCAGTGGTGCTGCCGCCTGTCTCACAAGCACAAGGTCCTGAGTTCAATTCCCAGTACCAAAAAAAAAAGAAAAAGAAAAAGAAAAAGAAAATAAGGGAAGAGATTTATCTTCTTTAACCTTTTCTTTCAGAATTTCTTTCTCCATCCTTTCAGTAGCTTATAAATTCTTATAATAGCTAAGTAATGCTGTGTGTGGCCAGTATCACAGTGCAATTTTTTTGAAATATAAACCTCTAGGGAGATTGTTCCCTGTCTCAGTTCCTGTGTGAGGCTAAGAACCTAACTTTGGAGTGAGCACCTTGCTCTAATATGCAAAACTATTTACTGACATAAAAATGTGAAAAGTTTGTTTCTCTTCCACATAAAAGCCGATTAACTGGCACAGCAGTCTTCCCAGTTATCATGATAAAGTTAAGATGAACTATGTGTGACAAAATGTGCGGTCTTAGTTATTTTTCTCTTTGCTAAGACAAAATACCTGACACCTAAAGTTAAAGGAGGGAAGGTTTATTTTAGCTCACAGTTTGTAGAGGTTTCAGTCCATAATGGGCTGATAATAAGGTAGGGTCACATGGCACAGGGAGAGGGTCACATGCAGAGGAGGAAACAGTCCATGGCAGGCCAAGCAGGAGGCAATGAGCAGCAAGCAGCCATAACCTGCCTTTCCTTCTTATCCCATCTAGGCTACAAGCATTTTGGGTGGTGCCAACTACACTGAGAATGTGACTTCCTATCTTCAGTAAATCCATTCAGCCACATTGAGAACTATGCCGATTCCAGTCAGTGGTCTAATTTAATACCACACACCCTTATCCTCAGTCTCATACACCCTAGATCTGCCCAGCTCCAAAAAGCTCCATTTATGAACACATGAGGCTTTGGGAGGACATTTAGATTCAAATCATAACAGGTGCTGTCAAGTCCTTTTTCTTGTGGACTATTGTTTATCTAGAAAACATGTTTGTGTGGGCTATATCTACTTGGTTAAATGAAGGGATAGGATTTTTTTCTTTTCCTTGTAGCCCTTTTTTTTTTTTTGGTACCGGGGATCGAACTCAGGACCTTATGCTTGTGAGGCAGGCTGTGGAACACTGAGCTAAATCCCTGGCCCTCCTTGTGGTCTTTTAGTGGATTGCCTGTGATGTGCATTGTATTTAGGTATAATGGTTATTCAATAATAAAAGTGATTTGCTTCTCTATTATCTTTGTGGAGTAGATTTCTGGGTTAGAAGATTTTATTTTTAATTATATTTCCACAACAAGAAACTCTTGCTGAGGTTCTTTTATAATCTGAATGTTTATTTAATGAGTTTTGTTGTTTTGAAGTTGTGAGATTTAACAACAAAAGTAATTGTAACACAAATTAGTCACTATTAGAACATTCTGAACAGTTATGAGATAGTCAGAAACCACCATATGGACCCGGAACAAACAAAATTACAGATTCTTAGCCTGTTACTTATCAAAACCTTGATTTGCATTTTCTCCCAAGGCAATCGGGGGTTTAAAGTAGTTTTTGCTAAAAATCATAACTCTTCACTTAAATGCCAAATAGATAACTAAAATTAGAATAAAGCTTGACTTTCATTTTGTATCATTTATTATTGAATATCTTTGGTCCAAATCCCTTCTCAGCTCTGCATGAGTGTGTTGATTACTTAGAGAGTGTTTATCTAAATTTTGGTAAAGCTAGATTGATTAGCCCTGAATTTACATGACCTCATGCTTTGTCAAGACCGAGGACACCAAGGTATGAGATTCACAGGAACATTCAACTATGGCCAGTACTCTCCAGTCATTGTCCTAAGCCTGTGATCACCTACATTATGGAAAAAACAGACTCACACACCACAAAACAAAGATAATCATTTCATGGGAATGGAACTACCCTTCAAGCCATGAGGATTTCAGAGCTATGAAACAAGACTGAGATAATGATTAACTGGATCCCAGACCACCAGCCGTGCTTATAAACTGGCTTCCTGTTTTTCTGGGTGGCCAATCTAATCCTTTTCATCAGAGTATGCCCCTTCCAGCTACTCAAACTGAAGCCTTTTTTATTTTTCTTACTCTCTTTGTTAAGGGCTATCTTGAATTTTTTTTTTTTGGTAGTGGAATCGAACACAGGACCTTGCGCTTGCCAGGCAGGCAGCATCTATCCTGAATTTTGACAGCTCCCCAAGCTAGAGTCCCTTACCATTTTCTCTTCCTTTGTAATTAGAGCTTTTTCCTATAAAGTTGTGCTTTAGTTTTAATTTTTATTATTACTAAAAGCAAAGATCCACACCAGGCTAGCCATTGACAATCCCTCCTAGTGTAATACTACTATCTGCCTGCTCAAAGATCAGTGGTTTGGTAGACATACAGTGAAAATGTATTGCTGTTTCATATTCTGCCCAAGAAGCAGTATTTTATTAAATTGGTAAACGTTATGTGAAACCATTGCTTCAGTGGCTCACAACATCACTAAGGAGTATGGAAGAGCAATTGAAAAGATAAATCAATAACTAGGAAAACACTTACCAATCTCCTGAAAGTTGGTCCCAGTGCCCTTCTTTGTTTTTGGCAAGTGAAGCACTGACGTTCTTGCCACATGATCCAGGTCTAGGTAAAAATGTCAGATGAATAAAGTAGGGATGCACAGGGAATGGGGGCTCTGGAAAAAGTTTTAGCTTTAATATTGCAAAGAGAGAAGAAGTTGTGTAATTCTTTGACTGTTTTAGTTTCCTGCTCTACCTGCCCCCTGCTCCCTTCCTTGAACACAGTCATGCTGCCTGCAGCTGTGGCTGTTACTATGCTTTTAAAAAAAATCAGTATTGGAGACAGACTGTGTTCTACAAATTGCCTGTGGTAATCTAACTTCTGTGAAGTAGAAAGTGAAACAGTTTTTATTTGTATTAGTTTATTTTTCAAAAATAAAATCACAATTTTGTGGTGTACTATTGACTATAAAATTTTAAGTATACTTTATTAAGTATTGATTTTCTTCTTGGTAGCTTTTATACTCAGATAAGGAAGACTGTCTACCTGTAAGGGCTTATAAGCGATAGTCTTTTTAAAGCTGAGACTTTAAATATTCTTACAATGTCCTGGAAGAACTGCCCAAGTAGTTCTTTTAATTATATTCAAATGTAAAAGACATAGTTCTTTTACCTTATAAAGGATATAATAGCTTTCCTCCATTTGGGAACAAAAACTGTAAGAATCATTTGAATGAATGTTTTAGATGAAGAAGATACATGTTCTGTTTGGTAATGTGCAACATTTGTGAGTTTCTGCAGACTTTTTAAAAAGTGTCTCTTAAAGATTTGGACAGGATGCGTATGTCCTCCGTAGGAATGGTTTTGTTTCTCCTGAAGAGAATAGAAATTCCCACCAGCTCTGTTTGGGCATCTCCTCTCCTGGAGGGAAGAACTTCCTTCTGCGGGCAGGTGCAGTGAACTTCCTCTTTAGTCCAGGCAAGCTGGCCCTCCCCCTGATGTGCAGGTGGCTCTATGACTGGGAGGACACCCCTCCTTGTCAGAGCACTGAGTTCATGGGCTCTGGGGCTGACAACATGCAGTAGCTGAAGTTAAGACTGTTTCATTTCCTCACGCTAGAAATATTAGCAAAGTCTTGCCAAGTTATGATCTTGTCTCAGTTAGGCAGTAGAATATGACAAATGGTTTGTGATCAGGACTCTGAGGTGAGAATAGCAAACCCAGGTACTGTGGGCGACACTGTCCATCCGGGGTCCCAGTTCCTGCTGGCTGAGCAGGATGACAGCCAGCAGCTCCCAAAATGTACTCAGTGGATTTGAAGGGATCCCCCAGATGTTGCCAAACACCCAAGAAACAGCTCCCAATTGAGGGCTGGGCTTTCTGCTATTAATAGAAATAAATGTCTACAGAGAATGCTAACGTTTGGGGAAACTGGTTACACATGGTTAGGGGCAAAGTTATCGGAGCCCCAGCCTCTCCCTTTGAAATAATGGCTTTTTTCTAACTTTTCCTCACAGGATTCTGTGCTTTCCATCAACTGGACTAGGATCCCACATGAAGTTGGTGGCACCTTCTCCTATGAGCTCTGTGACACCTAACCCAGTCTTCTGTCTATCTCGTGCAATGGCAGGTTTAATCTTAGAGAGTGACTTCCATGCTTGGGGTCAGAGTTACCAGAATAACAGATGTTTTCACATGTCTACAACCCTCAGGAAAAGGAGGAATGGGACAAAAAGGCCAGCCCTTACAAATTGAGATACAGGCTAGTTATCCAGACATCTAAAGATGCAAAAGAAAAAAATAAAAGGGGACTTACCAAATTGTCCACTGATAGGAGCTGCAAGAGAGTCAAGAATGAGGCATTAGCATTTGTTTCCTGAGGAGTCCCCAGCTATTGCCCACAGAGCCTGAGTGTCCATATTCTACTTCCAAACAACCCACCCAGAGAAGACAATTGCTCAGGCTGTGGACCCAGCTTTGTTTGAATTTTACTTGTGTGTTTCCAGATAAATCACATAAACTTCCAAGACTCAGTTCCCACATTTGAAAAATGAGTATTGTTACTGTATTATTGCAATGAGATAAATTTGTAACTCCTCAATTCATCACTCCTATGAGTTTTAAAAATATGAGGCTTCTGCTGACATTTGGCTCCATTCTGTCCTTACCTGGAATTTCCTTCCCTTCCTTCAGTATCAATTAAAATCAAGTCACACTCCTGGATGAGGCCTAAGAGAGGCCAAACCTCCTCATGAAGCCTTCTCAGATGCCTCTCTCAGTTGAAGCAATCTTTCTTTCCTCTTGAGTCAAAACACTGACCATCTTAGTTTACTGGAACTCATCATAATTGAATGTACAGTAAAGTGTGGTGCTTAAAAGCATAGTTTCCATCACTTCTCTGCCTTTTGGCTAAGATCAAGTGTAGTAAAAGCATAGTTTCCAAAGTCAGGTTATGGGTTTGAATTTTGATGCCACTAGAAGCACAAATCTTAGTCATAATACCAAAGTCGCTGTGCCTCGATTTCCTCATTTATAAACCGGGGAGTTATAACAATTCAAGCTCTTAATTGTTAGAAAATTAGACAAGTTAATACAAGTAGTATTCTTAGAACAGGGTCCCAGAGCAGAACTATGTCTGGGGCATATTCAAGGTCAGCAAAAATTAATCATTATCATGGCTATTCTGTGATCCAATATATAATACTTCTCCTATATTGCCAAGTCAGATATTCTTACACCTCTTCTTTGATGTTTTAATTAGAATGTCAGTTCTTGAGAACAGAGGCTCTGTATTTCAGGTTTCTAGTCTCTTTGGGGTGCCCAGCACTGTGCTGTCCTGAGTATATCCACACATTCACTGTTTATTGAGGTTCCATGATGTGCCAATCACACTAGTAACTCTTCCCTTAATTAGAATCTAGGGATGTAAAGGGAAACAAGACAAATACACTTAAAAATGTTGAATGCACAAAAGATTTGGTACCAGGGATCGAACTAGGGACTTTGTGCCTGCAAGGCAGACAGTGGAACCACTGAGCTAAATCCCTGGCTCCAAAGACTGACTTTTTAAATTCCTCAACTTGAGGTACTAGAAAATTAGTGTCACATTTGCACAAACATGGACAAATAATAGCGAAGTAGGGAGAAAAAGTCAAAGGGAAGCCATCTTATTTCTTCTCTTTCCATGCCCTTTACAATGCCAGAATAGGTTTGCTTGGAGGATATAGAGAAGGAAAATGCTATTCTCAGTGGAAGATCATTCCTATCTCACCTCACAACTAAGATATGATTCTTCACAAGGGTCTGTTTATCTTTTTTGCTCTAGGTCTTCATGAGGGTATGATTTAGGAAGGCAACTGACTATAACTCTAGTTTTTGTTGTTTGTTTTTACATGAAAAAATAGCCCACTTTGAGGTAGGAGGAATTTTCCACGGGCATCTAAAAGAAAAAGTGGATGAAGAATGCACATTTGGAAATCAGTAATTATTTTCCTCTCACACTGTTAAATCAATAACTTTCCCTGAGTCCATGTTCTGCTGTTCTGAAATGGGGGTAAAATCCATGGTTTCAGCCAGAAGAGGAGAGGCCTTTTGCTTGTGTTGAGGCTCAGCCAGAGGAGAGACTCCATCACTTACCGAGAATCAGCAGGGATGCCCACAGCAGCATGGAGTTGGGTCCCAGTGGCCACAGGAGGATGGTTCTCAGGAGACAGAACAGATCGGCCCAGACTACCAGAGCAATGTGTGTCTACACTGCCTGTGCACAGAAGGGAGTTCAGTAAAGTGCTCCTCTCAGCACAGCTGGCTGCATAATGAAGTGAAAAGGGGAAGTAGAAGAATCTCTCTCAAATCCACAAAGATGCTAGGTGTAGTGGTGCATGTCTGTAATCTCAGCACCTTGGGAGCCTGAGACAGGAGGATCCTAAATTCAAGCCCACTCTGGGCAACTTAGTGACTTTTCAAGACCTTTTCTCAAAAAAAAAAAAAAGTGAAGACCATGCTACCCACTGTAAGGGAATCCAGAAGATGAAAATCAATATTTAACAGAATGATTTAAGTACTGCTGTGACATCTTGGTGTGAAAAGATTCTCCTAGCATTAGCTGTGATATTTTCAGACCTCTCCAGCCTCTGTCTTCCCAGGAAATTGCAAGTTAATCATCTCTGCTACTAGACACTAGGCAAGACTGCAACCCTGTAATCCCGTTAAGATTTACACAATGCAAGCATGTACCAGAAACACCGGAAGATGGAGACTTCCCATTCAGTAAGAAGCACCCTCCTCTGACCCCTGCTTCCTCTGCTGCAACCTGCTAGCTGGCTGTCTAGACATTTGAGGAAACCTCTCAGTCACAGGACAGCTCTCATCTTGACATACCTGAGAATATCCTGACTCATCGGTCCCAGGGGAAGACACAGTCTTTAATCTGAGTAGAAAGTGAACAGAAGAGGAAATTACAGGCCTCACATGCTCTTATATAATAGACAATGAATTTTTACTGAAGGTTCTAGAATCTAAAACTTGCTACAGGCATATCTTGGTAAATATATATTGATTGAGTAACTATATTTTAGGTGTAAAATCAGGTGCTAAGAGCATAGTGGAAATCAAACTCAACAAAATTTTCCTTTTGGTTGGGCAGACAAATTAATAGGGAATTACACAGAATGAAAAGTCTTCTGATAGCCAAATATAAGGAGACTGACCCATGGGTGGGGAGTGAGGAAAGGCTCTCTACTGGAAGTTACACCTGAGTTGAAAGGATATTATTGTAGAACTGGGAGATTAGTATAAAGTTAGGCAGAAGGCAGTCACCATGCCCATCATCATCACCTCTGATACCTGTTAATGAAGGATCCTTGAACTTCCAGTGAGGGAATGATAATAGAAATAGGATATCTATGAAGAAAAACATGAGTGCAATGCATCTCCTTTAAAAATTTAATAAAGACATTGTGGTAAGAACTACAAGGGGCATAGCCACAGGTCACTGTGGGAACATGACTATTGTCAAGATGGCACTCAAGTCCTTTGTCTCCTTGCCCTGGGACCTTTCAGTTGCTTGTATTTCTCCCATTTGGGGTGAAGGTATGAAATGGCAGTCAAGAACCTGAACTGTAGAACCTCACAAATCTGAATTTGACTCTACCACTTACTAGTTGTATGACCTTAGTCAAGTATTTGGGTTCAGTTTCACACTTGTAAAAAAGGAATAAAAATAATATACCTGCTCAAGAGAGGTTTTGATGTAGATGTATATATAAATGTAAAATGATATAGATCTCTTGGCCCAGTGCCTGGAACAATGTGAACATTCAACAAGTAATAATTATGATGAGCTAGTTATTCTATACTACTAGAAACTATAACAATAAATCAGAAAACACTTTCCAATTGGTACTATATTCTACCAATGTTTTTGTATGTCTTATGACAGTGTAAAACAGTATTTTACATGAGTTTAAATCTCAAGTATGTGTGTCAATAACTAAAGGTTGAGGGGAAGGGGAAGTATCATTGTTCGTTTTCTTGTTTCTAGCCTCAATTTTGTTGAATGAATGCACAAATTCCAATTAGCATAAGAAAGTTTTATGCTTATGGTATTGTAGATGATGTCCAAACATAAAAAGTAATATTTGTTATAATTATTGTGTAATAGTTTAAGTGAAATACTATTTTTGCATCTCTGTTTAAGTTATTGGTATAAATGCCTATTATTGGTGCCAAAAAATGTCTCTTCATTTTGAAACTTCAGCCATGGATGGTATATGCCATAATTAATTAAAAAATTGTTTGATTTATCATAAATAAATGTTAGATTTTACATATGTTAATGAAGAACAGAAATAATTGCTTTAATCAAAATACAGAAATGGAAAGAAATGGATAATCCTGAACTTTTTTCATGTATGTATATATTAAGTATTTAAAGTTGTACATTTAAATTTTTAATTTTGGAATAATTCTAGATGTATTAATGATCCTCTGGATTTCTGCTGGGTCCATGGTAATTTCATCCTTTTCATTCCTAATTACATGGATTTGGGCCTTTTCTTTCCTTTTTCTGATAAGGTTTGCTAAGAGTTTGTCAATTTTGTTTATTCTTTCCAAGAACCAACTCTTTGCTTCATTGATTTTTTTTGTTTCATTCTCTTAGTCTCCATTGAATTGATTCTGCTCTGATCTTTATAATTTCCTCCCTTGTATGAGCTTTGGGTTGGTCCTGCTCTTCTTTTTCTAGAAGCTTGAAGTTCAGCATCAGGTTGTTTAATTGGGCTCGCTCTGTTTTCCTAATATGAGTATTCACTGCTATGATTTTCCCTCGTAAGACTGCTTTCATTGTGTCCCATAGATTCCGATATGTTGTATTGTCATTGTCATTTAATTGTAGGAACTGTCTGATTTCTTCTTTAATTTCCTCTGTGACCCATTGGTTATTCAGAAGTGTGTTGTTTAATTTCCACGTGTTTATGAAATTCTTGCTATTTCTTTTGCTAGTGATCTCCAATTTCATCACACCATGTCTGATAATATACAGGGAATTACTTCAATTCCTTTGCACTTACTTAAACATGTTCTATGAGTGAGTATGTGATCTAGTTTGGAGAACTACCTGTGTGCAGCTGAAAAGAATGTGTATTCTGATTTTGTGAGGTGGAACACTCTGTAAACACCTGTTAAACACCTGTTAACATTTGTTCAAGAGTTTGATTCAGTTCTAGTCTTTTGTTGCTTGTTTTTTGTCTAGTTGATCTATCTATTTGTGCCAGTGTGGTATTGAGGTCCCCCGCTGCTATTATAATTAGTGCCTAATTGATTTTTCATGTCTGTTTGTATTTGTTTTATAGTTGGGCACACTAGTGTTTGATGCATAGATATTTATGATTGTCATCTCTTCCTGGTGGATTGTTCCCTTTACAACGATGTAGTGTCCTTCTTTTTCTGTCATAATCAGTGTTGAAATCCACTGATCTGCAAAGAGGATAGCTACTCCTGCTTTTTTACAGGTTCCTGTCATGTGGAATTCTGTTTTCCACCCTTTAATTTTCAGTCTATGAGTTTCTTTTTGAATGAAGTGTGTTTCTTGTATGCAGCATATTGTTGGATCTTGATTCTTGACCCATTCTGCCAGTCTATTTCTTTTGATTGGTGAATTGAGACCATTAACAGTGATGGTTATAACTGATACATATTGACTTATTATTGTCATGACTTTTTTTGTTGGATTCTCGACTTTTGCATTTATTTTCTTGTCATGCTTGATGGATTCATTCTGCAGGCCTTCCTGGGGTTGTGATCCTCAATGTCTGTTCCTAGGATATTGTCTAAAATTTTTTGGAGTGCTGGTTTGGTATTCATGAAATTCCTAAGGTGCTTTTGTCATGAAAGTATCTTATTTCTCCATCAATTTTAAAAGATAGTTTTGCAGGGTACATCAATCTGAGTTAGAGGCTGTTTTCCTTTAGGGCTTGAAATACATCACTCAAAGCTCTTCTTTTGTTGAGGGTTTGTGTTGAGAAGTCTGCTGTGATTCTCATGGGCTTTCCTTTGTATGTGATTTGTTTCTCTTCTCTAACTGTTTGTAAAATTTTATTCTTCTGTTTGGTTTCTGAAATCTTAACTATCATATGCCTATGTGTAGATTTTTTTGATCAAGGCTAGTTGGAGTCCTATATGCCTCACTTATTTGTATGTCAAGTTCTTTTCCCCTGCTTGGGAAGTTTTCTGCCATTACTTCTGTGAACAGTTTTTTTATGTCATCTGTGCTCTCTCCTGTTTCTTTTTTGACTCCAATCAGTCTTATGTTATTATTTTTTGTATCATCTAGCACCTGCTGGATTGATTTCTCATGGTCCCTTACTATCTTAAATAAATTTTACTTTTCCTGGTCACTAATTGCAATCTCATTTTCTATATGTGAAATTCTGTCCTCACATTGGCTCATTCTGCTGCGTAAACTTTCAGTGGAGTTTTTAATCTCCTGGGAATCTGTTTGCATCTGTTTTATGGATTCCATTTGTTTCCTATGTTGGGATTCCATCATGTTCCTCAGCTCCTCTATATATTTATTAATCATGTCTTGCACTACGAGCACAATCTCTGATGTTATCTAAGAAATTATTTCTGATTTCATTTTTTCCAGATCTTCTTTTGTTGCCAGTTCAGGGACTCCAGGTGGTTGAGTATCAGACTGTTCCTTCTCATTTAACTTTGGGGTTGCTTTCGGTGATCTGGAAGTCTGGTTTTGAGGCTTGTTTATGTGTCTTCTCATTTCAATGGTGGGGAAGGATTGTGCTGCTGGTGCCTGTGCAGGTCACCTCCTTGATGCTGGGGGCAGCTCTGCTCCTCGGTGCTGGGGGCAGTGGTATGGCAGCCCAGAAGTCTCCTCTTCAGCAGTGTGGGCAGCTCTCAAGAGATGTTTTTGCTTAAAAACTGGCCCAAATGAGAAGACAACCAGAGATGATTAGCATTCTCTACAACAGATTTGGGGCCACACTGATGTGACAGAAGGTATGAAATAGGTATTATATTTGAAATTTAAGGCCTCTGTATTATTTTGCTTCATGATGTACAAGTTATGTATGTCACTGCAAATCCACATTTTTTACTTGGTGATTTTGTTTTCAATACCACAACTTTCATTTCTCCTATTTGCTGTTATTTGTGTGTGTCTTGGGGCAAGATTTTTAAACCCTTAGAAAATGTCAAGTATAATACAATGAAAATCTATCTGCTTTTCACTAACATTCAATTAATTGTGAACAT